TGTGACTGGTGGGTGCTTAGGAGGGATTGAGGAAGATTTTTAAGCAACTGAACCAAGAAGACATCAATGGTATGAAGGGGAGATTTAGTTGTATATTAGGAAAAGGTTTGTCAGAAGGTGGTTTGTCAGAAGGTGGTTGGGCACTGGAACAGGCTCCTCAGAGAAAGGGTCACAGCACCAGCCTGACAGAGCTCAAGAAGTGTTTGGACAATGCTCTCAGACACATGGTGGGATTCTTGGGGCTGTCACATGCAGGGCCAGGAGATGGACTTAATAATCTTTATGGGTCCCTTCCGACTCAGGACATTATGATAGTTCTGCTCCAGCATGGCACAGAGATGGTTTACCCTCTTAGTGCCACTGTGTAATTTTTTTTTTTTTTTTTTTTTTTTTTTTTAATCTTACTGTTGAGGTAGTCTACTGAAAACTTTTCAGGACTTTTGTCTCCATCTAAGCTACTTGCATCTTTGCAAAATACCTATTCCAAATCTATCAAGAACTTATTTTGATGCCTGTTTTTAGGAATGTTTAAAGGTGTTGAATGGAATCCACTAAGTGGAATATCACCAGATCAAGCAAAACAGGTCTTTTTAAAGTCACTCTCCTGTGGTTGATGTACATCTATTTATACTAGTTACTCTTCATATAATTGTCAGTGTGTTGGATGATGCTTTTAGCAACAAGGGAATGACATAGATGGGGATATAAGAGACACTCTGCTTTTGCCTTGAGTTACAAGTGCAAGATTAAACAGTTATGTTTGTTTCTCTTGGGATTAGAGAAGACTGTGTCCAAGGAGCCTGTGTCCTGCCAGTTCATCAGACCCAGTTAGACAAGACGCATGACTTCGCTTTCCCCTTCCTTCTGAGCAGTGTTTTTAATTTGCATGATGGCTGAAGGGGTCTGCACCTCCACTGGAATACTACATATACAGAAAAGGATCACAATTACTGAAGCTTGTGATACACAGCCAGGAGGTGAGAGAAAGGGGAAAAAGCACTTTCCTTCCTGCCTCTTCGCTTGTATCCCCATCCAACCAACATGGCTGATCACTCGTCAGTGCTGGGGAGAGATGGTCAGTCACTGTCTGTCTTCTGCAGTGCTGGCAGGGCAGTGTGCCTTTTTGAGAGAGAATACTCCAGTGAAGTGTGCGCTAAATAGTACCTAGCTATGTACAGCAGCTAGAAAGGCTGAGACACACATTGGTATATTGGTGTAATGAGAGCAAACCCAAGCACTTCTTTAGGCAAAGCCCATCCCATATTATTGAAAGAAACATCAAAAAGAAAAAGAGCCACCTTATGTATTCATTGAGGAAACAAAAGCCATATGGCAATTTGTTCAGCATTCGAGATGAGGAAACAGCAGTCACTGAAAGAGTCATATACAATCTAACCACTGGGGGGAAAGTGTTGTTCCTTATTCAGCTGATTGGTGTCCTTTGGAAACATCTGCTCTTGCTCCCGAGTTTCTTTGATGAGAGCATAAATGAAGCTGCGTAATTCACCTTTTCTGTAGCATTGTCTCTTGGGCCTCTGTTGTGGGAGTCTCATTTTCCTTTTCTCTGCATGTTGTGTTCTGATAATCTTATTTGTTCTGTCTGTGGTGTCTCTGCTTCTGAGGCTTTCTTATTTTGTTCTGGATATTTTTCTGGCTTTCTGATGGACTTACTGAGGTATTGGTAATACTGATTGCATTTGCAAGGAAGATACTATCAATTTATAGTTTTTTACTTTTACAGTGACAGCTAAATTTACTCAAGTAGCAGAGTCATTCTAGGTTTGCTCATAAATTGTTGATTCACATAAAAAAAGAGAAGGCCTAATTTCAATATAGGGCCTGATGTTCTGTGTAACAGAATTTCTCTTGGTAATTATATCATCCAGTTTGTGGTAGATATCTTGGACTTGCATGTTCTATCATTTAGAAATTGATGACTCATCTGGCATTGGCTACTGGCATCCTTCTCACTTGGGTGCTGTTCAGGCTGTTCTGATGCCCCCTGTTAATTTTTGAAGCCTGGGTCCTTCAGTTCTTTACTGCTCTTGGTATGGTCCATCTGTACACAGAAAGAACCTTTGGCTTTCATTAGATATTAATTCAGAATTCTCCATTTTTCTTTTAAAAATTCAAACTCTAGTCTATGTAACATCTAATTTTTGGAGATTCCTCTTGGAGAGTTTGTCTTGAATCCTGACTATAAGCTTTTTGTTTTGGGAGTTTTTTAAGCCTTTTTCCAGCTGAAGTAAACTTTATTTTGCTATTAAGCTCACTGGGAGGAGGGACAGACATAATATTGTATTTATTTATTTTGTGTTATAGCATATATGATTCTAGTTTTAAAAAGCATCTTTCGGACTGCTGATGAGTATTACTGGTTGTTGCCAATGTGTCATATGTCCCCTCCACAATTTTTGTTTATTGTTGTCTTAAACAGAGACATTTGGATATTTTTTTCCTCCATAAAGTTTCTCAGCAGTTAAAATTGCTCAGAGGAGATAAATAATTTAAAGACATGAATGTCTAAGTGCAGTTAATATTTTACATTGTAGATTGATCTGACAGTAGTGTGTTTATAAATGTTATGCTGAATGTTCCAATGTTTATTTTTGAATGTTTAATCAAATTTATTTTTTGGCTTGCACCTTTTTATTAGAATCACTGTGAAAAGTGGTTATTGTCTGACTTATGTGAAAGTTTCATCTAATGTTCTTGATCTCATTTGTTTTTCTGAAGAAAGGTTAAGTTCAATGTCTTGAGGCATGCCACAAGGAACTGTAATAGAATTTGCTTTTCACATATCTATCCCTATGCTTTAATTTTGCATGCACATGTATTTTGTTTAATTTCTGCATTTGTATTTTTATGCACATTTTAATGTAAATTTTACATCTCAGATGCTTTTGCTTTTTTTGCAAAAGTTGGAATATATTCTGCAATATCTCTGATGCCTGGTAGAGTTAAGGTGGTTGGTTGTCCCACTGTATTTAATCGCTAATCACCTGTCTGAAAGCAGAGTAAGAATACAAGAAGAGAATGCCTATTTCCATGCCTGTTTCATGTCAGGGATGTAAGAGAGTTACTTCCTAACCCTGGGCAGGATGGTCAGTGTTATAGTCTAAACATTAGCATACAAGGCTACTTTCTGCTCTGATATGCAGAATAAATAAATTGCCAATACATAGTGTTTGATTTGAAAAAAAAATGTTTATTTTTGTGGTAAAGAACAAGTTTCTGAATGTAGTAAGTGTACCTGATAGTTAGGTATTAAGTCATGGCCTGTGTAATTTTATTGGAAGTTTATTACAGCACAGGCACATTTAATGGTGAATGCATGTCCCTGTATGTGAAATCACCACTGATGTAATGAGAAGGGAAGGTTGGGTAAATCTGCCAGTGTAATAGTAACAGGCACTCATATACTTCATGTTACTACACAGAGCCTGTGTATTCAAAGCTGGGAAATTATCATCTCCTCTGCATTAATAAAGATGTCAGTGACCAGAGATGTATCTGTGATGGGAAGGGTTCAGGGACCTTTCCCTGGACTTGTCTGGTTGTTCTTTAAGGCTCAAGTATCTTACACAAGTGGGAATGTGTGAGGCTGCCAAAAGCCATTGCCAGTACAAAGCCTGGTCCAGCTTGTGCCAGGACACCTCTTTGCCAGGGAAAAGGCAGGACAGAAGTAGCAGCAGCTGTGTGGTGTGTCAGGACAGGTGAGGGGGAGATCAAGTAATCAGCTGAGTGCCTGAGGCCTTTGTAACACTGCAGATTTTACTGCAGCAAGGTTGTGAGGAGACACAAAACTTGACTAGAGAGACTGCATCAGCAAGTAATTTTGGCATTGACCAACTAAATTGCCTTTTAGACTATTCATTGTTTTGCATGTGTATAGGTGTACCTATATATAGCTGAGGTTTTCTTCTTGGACACTTGCCCCTGCTTCAGGATCTTTAGTTGGGGAAACAAGGAAACTGCAATGGCAGAAGGCTCCTAGGCTTGACATGGCTTGCACTGGGGCAGCACAGTGAAAGCAACCCCCAAAGATATTTTTGTTGCAAACCAAGAGAATTAGAGAAGCAATCAGAAGGTGTGCTGAGAAGGGAAAAGGAAGAAACAGACTGTCAAGACTGTCACAGTGAAGCATTTACCTTAGGCTGGAGTAGCACCAGGGTCCAGGCATAGCAGAGTCAGGCTCTATGAGATTATAGAGCCCAGCACTAACAGCAGCCTTTTCAATCTAGCCTCCTTTTTAATTAAACCATAAATGACAAAATATTCTTTTTTTCTTTTTTCTTGTTCATATACTTCTTTGGGTGGATATAGGCCATGGTGAGCTTTAGGCAGAAGAATAGGATAAAGAACCTGAGAAAAAATCAGATATTGACTGGCATTGCTAGCCAAGGTAGTTCACAGCAGAGCTCAGATATGCAAGTAAAGCAATATACACCTCTCTTTTAGAGCAGATGGACTTGAGAGGTGTTGTCATTTAACCTCCAAGTCTTCTCAGGCTGTAGTGATGTCCGAGGTTATGGGAGAAAGGCATGTCTAGGTGCTCCTTGGTAGTCAGAAAGGAAAGGCTGCCATGGAAAAGGAGCCTGAACTGTGTGTAAACAGGCAGAGAAAGCTCTTTGGTCTCTGAAACACACTGAGATTCATTAGGTTTTGAAGAATAGCTGAAAAATGTGATTTTGTTGTGGGGAGTTGGGGGTGCAGCTGTAAGTCTGCATGCTTTCTGTGCAGCTCAAAATTACAGCCCGTAAATAGATGTACATACTTAACCTCCTAGAAGGGCTGTAGCTCCCTGCTGTAGTACAATAAGAATAGTAATACTTGCCATTTAGATTGTGCTTTCTCTTTTCAGAGCTGTGCCAGTGTTAGGCATTTCAATGTAAAGCGGGCGGGTGATTGTGAACAGGATATGGTGAGCTTTTCAATTTAGGGGGGGCGGGGGGGGGGGGAGACGGGAACGACAGTGCTATTTTGCATACTCCCCGGAATAAAGAGACTCAAAGCCTTCTATTCTGGCAGTGGGGGCACGACATCTTTCAGCTTTCTTCCAGGAGCCACTCTCACAGGGGAGCCGATTTCTTCTCGGATCTGACCACCACAGCCCTCAGTAATTATAGCAGCGTCTGAATTCTGAGCTAAAAACAGAAGTGCAGCATGTGCCTATTCCCCATGTGATTCAGAAAGCAGGAAATTGAAAGAGCCTGACTGAGAGGAGAGGGAGCGCAAAGCAATAGACACATCCAATGTTTGTCTGAAACCTGCTACGCCTGGGACGCAGGAGCTGCCGTCCGTGATTCTGCTGCAGCTCAGCCGGGCGCATTGGGCGTAGCGGGGCCGAAGGCAGGGGGAGCGGCGGGCCGGCGCTGGGCTGGCCGCGCCGCGATGTGAGCAGCGCGCAGCGGAGCCAGCGCAGCGCCTGCATGCTCCGGGCTGCCCGCGGGCTGCCCCGGCCCCGGCGCGCTCCTCCGGCGGCAGTCCGGCTGTGGCCGGCTCCATGAGCCAAGCCAGGCGCTCCGGAGCAGCTCCTGCCTGTGGATATAACCAGGGGGCAATCGGGATGCGCTGAGCTTGCTCCGCCGGCGCCGCAGCTCCTTCGTGCTCCGCGCCGCAGGCGGGACAGGGCGATGGACATGAACATGAAGAAGTTCACAGTGCGTCGCTTCTTCTCCGTCTATCTCCGCAAGAAGTCTCGATCAAAGAGCTCGAGCCTAAGTAGATTCGAGGTAAAATTCGCCTTAACTTAGTTAAATGTAGCAAATGCTGTTAGGTGCGGGTAGCAGACGTACAAGAGAATGCCTGCATTTACTGATGTGATAAGTAGTTAAAGGTGCTCTTTCCCTGGAGGTGGTGATATTCGCACCCAATGTTCTTTGTTTCGGTATAATTCAGTGCTTTTTCTCGGTAGTATTCAATACATTGCATAATATACTTAGTGTGCTGCCAAGAGTCCTTTTATCAGCCTTGCAGGGGAGGAGGAAGCTGGTTCAGGACATCATGAAGTTGTAGGAAATAATTACAGATCCACTTAAATTAGCACAAATGACACCATAGTTTGAAATAGCCTCATATTTTAGTCTTCCCCTGCGCGTGTACCATTCTTTCTTAGTGCTAGGTTTCCAAATAATTAATCAGTTTGCTAGTGCCTTTCAAATACATGTGGTATGTTAGGGATTCTCTTGATTATTTCTCCATAGGTTCTCATGTTTGCACATATTTTTTGCATTTATCATCTCTCTTGGTATTTTTTCATTTGCTGTGTTTTAGGAGAAGTTGTTCTTTAGAAGCTGGGGGGACAATGTCAAACTAAACCTTTCATGATTTAGCGGTGTGGGGAGATGAGGGCAGTTCAAGTAGGAGGCATTAGCAAATTGGAATGTGTGAATGGGTTAGAACCCGGATTTCTGCCTGCCTTCCTCAAACCATTGTTCTTCAGCCCTGTATTTGGAGCTGTGAATAGTCGGCAGGATGTGAGATCAATTGAATAGATGTCAGTTATATTTATTTTGTTCACTTTACCATTGCAGATGATCTGCAACCTCTGCATTAAAATAGAGGTAGATGGGGCCTGATTCCCTTCTGTCTCACATTTATTTTGTGCTGGTGTACTTCAATTGACCTCTGAGGAGTTACTCTGATTTGCACTGGTACTCCCAAGAGGATGATTAGTCTTACGCTGTGTGAATACATTTTGAAACGTTATTCCCTTAGTGTCCTATTTAAAGCACCAGGTAATTGTTCGAACATAAAGTTCTTCATGTGTCATTGCTTAAACAGGGCATGCTGAAAAGCCAAGTTTTTGACCTGTGTCTTTTGTTGGTTTTTATATTCTTTCCTAACTATTTAAAATCAACTTCCCTGAAAAATGAGCATGTAGAATTTTATTTTCATCATCAAACAGACATGCTAAGTATTTAAAACAAACTAATAACTCCCTCCTTGGAACAGTCTCATCCCAGGAGGACTGAGGGGAGAGATTGGGATACCTTTCCTTTCCTGATTGTCTAGTCAGAATCACAGAGTTTAAGCTAGAATAAATGTTCCTTGTAACACACTGTAAATTCTCTAAGCTCGTGCTCCAACAGAGACAAGTAGACCTGGAGTTACTTGAAGGAGTTCTGAGACAAATGAGTATCTTCACAGGCCACCAGTGTCAAGGTGGGATGTTGGGAGGGGAGTTGGAATGGAGAGAGCAGAGCCCCACCAGAGCTCATAACTACTCATTTGACAGTGCCATAGTCCGGGAGAAACAGATTCCACCATCCTAATTATTTAACTTAGTAGATAATCCAGTGTGAATGACCAATACAACTCAGCACTTATATCAGGCTGGACTCTTGCTTCACTTACAAAAAAAAAAAAAAAAGAAAGCATCTTTGCAATCCCGTTGACCACCAGTGTTAGATTTACTGGACTTTCTCCATAATTAGGAAATAGTTTTCCCTTATGTGAGTTGTACTGTAACAATTTTTTCCTGTTTTTCAATAATTTGCTTCAAGAAGCAACCTGATATATATTCTGTCGCACATGTAGCTTCAGAGCATTTAATCTACATCCCTCCTTTCTTCCCTGGCTTGTCAGTAATGACCAACTTGATGGAAAGTGACTCAGTATTATAATGGAGTGAAGAATAGGGGCTGTTCCAGCTATAAAAAAAAAAAAAATATTCATAAAATCTGTTCTGCTATTTAAGTGTGAAAATCATCAGAAATGTTTCTTCTTTGGGCAGGGGGCAACAGCCAAACGTGAACATCAAGTCTCCTCTGTGGTTTTCATCTTCTGAGTATTTCTGTGTATAAATTTGTAATTGCAGGCTAACAAGTGCTTATCAGACAAACAGAAAGTGTGAGGAAGCCTGTTAGATGGTTTTTTTAGAAGTGAGAATATTCTTCATCCTAGTAGATAGATATTTTTAAAGATGCACCATGGAATGAGTAAAAGTAAAATAAAGGAAAGAAATTTGGAAAAAACCACATGGGGCATTGCTTTGCTTAGTGTGCATTAGCTAATGTACCTGGCAGAAATTTTGTTGCACAATGTAATTTGAAATTTGGATGGGAACTGTTTTTACTACGTTCTGTGGGATTTTTGTTATGTTGTTCTTTTGGCAAGTTGGGAAGGAGGGTTGAAGGGTTTAAGATAGATGCTCCTAGGCTCAAGCATTTAATTTGCCTAAAATACCACTCTTAGACTAGATTAAAAAGTAATACAATATTAGTTATTATTATAATGATTAATTACTTTTTCTAATGTGATATTCTACATTTCAAATTAATTTGTAATGAGAATGGTAGCTTACAGGGCCAGGATACAGCTGCAGAAAAGGACTTAGCAAATCACAGCTTGTAACCTTACCTTTACTTGATTGTTTCAGATGCCAGTGTTATTGCTATGCCTTTAACAACAAGATGATCACCTTGGGTAAACAGCTGGGTTTCACACTTTGTCCTGCTACAAGAGGCAGAGTGCTCTCTGGTAAATGAAATGGTATTAGGGTTTCATTTCATCTTGTCTAAAATTCACACCCTTTTTATTATTCTGGAAAAATCTGGCTGAAATTTGAATTTATTTGGCTACAGTTTAGGGGTTTCAGTTTATATTATTTTTCAGTATGGCTTGCATTGTCCTTCATTGAAAAGGTATCTAGTGATGTAATTTTATTGAATGTGCAGAGCCAAGTTTTGCCCTTCTACATGCACAGAGTTCTGATTGAAGTCAGCTGAAAATCCAGCAAAGTCAATGGGAACTGCATGTGTGCATCTGAGAAAGGGCTTTGTTTATGGTTCTTGCTGAGTGTTGATGAACATGAATGTGAAACCATCAGGATAAAATACACACAGTGGAGATCTGCTAAAGACTTTGAGACCCAGTGGAATGTATCTTCTGGCAGTGAGCAATATCACTTGATTTATAAATAAAAATTTAAATATGCCATTGGAATAAGCTAGGAAATACCTAAGCATATACAGAATTTCATAATAATAATTCCAATGATGCAAGAGTATTTTTTTTTCCTTTTGAGGAAACTACAAATTAAAACATTACCTTTTATTTTTGGAGATGTTTCTGACTTTTGTGTTCCTGACGTATTTTTAATTCATTATTCTTACACTTTTAGTCTTCTAATTTGTTTTTAGTCTTACTGGCAATAATGAATCCAAATTATGTTTAATCTATGTATGGGGCTTAGAGCCTAGCAGAATTATTGGAAATTAATTCAGAATTAATTTGGGGCCTGGTGTGCTTTGGCATGGTCAGTATGAGAGACAGGATCTCCTAAGGATGATTCAAGTGTGGGTCCTCTTTGTTTTAAGCACTGGTGGAAAGGAAATGGAGGCGAGCCTATGCAGGCTTGTTTAGTAGTGCAGAAGGACTGGCACTGCCTTTGTAATACTTTTTTACAAGGGGTTTTTGGTTCTAATCTTGGGCTCTGATTCTGATTTCCTACAAGCTAAAGTTACAGCAGCCTTAGGAAAGAGCCAAAAAAGTGCTGAGCTATACTGCTTCTTTTCCACAGTGGCTGGAGAAACAATGCTTTGCTTGCAAACACTTGTGAATTCTGCACTTTTATACAGAGAAATTATGTTCCGTATCACCAGTATGTCTTTTATTCTGTCTTTTTAAAATTATTTTTATAGTTACTCACTTGGTAGAGGAATAGAGTCTTCCTATCAAATGTTAGCCAGAATAAAGGCAAGTTAAAGAAAGGGAGATGGGGATTATCAGCCCAAGAACATCTCTGCAAGGTGTAAGTCCTGAGGCAGCTTTAGTTTTACTTTTTTTTCCCTGTGGTAATGATCATATTTTTGCTGTGTGTTCTTGTTACAGCAGAAGGTACCGACACTGTTGTAGTGTCTAACTTGCCCCAGCTGCCGGCAAGACTTTTACAAGAAAATGCTGCAGTCTTGTAGTCTTGCATGGCTTGCTGGGGGGAAGGGAGGCAGGGATGGGAGAGAGGGCAAGAGCAGGATGAGTGTGTAGTCCCTCAGGTCACTTGAGGAGCCAAGAAATCCATTTTTCAGGCTCATTTTGTTAACTTGCTGTGTCATTACAGACGGTTCAGACCTTTGTGCTTTGCATTTCCCATTTGAAAAAAGGAAAATTGTGATAAATATTCCAGTCCTTTGATACTATTGTACCTATTTACCCTGGTTTGAGGGCAATACTGATATGTGTACCCTTTCATAACAAAGCAATTGCTTCCAATTCCCCAACTGCTTCTGACTTTATCCCAGATAAATTCTCATGTGCCTCAGGCTTGATATGTGTTCCTTCCAACAAGCCTTAAATTAACTGCTGAGGTACAGAAAGGAAAAATTAAGCACATAGATGTAGGGATAATGTACACAGAAAATTGGGACTGAAAGGTCTCTAAAAACCCTTGATCTAGACCCCTCTTCCTCCTTAGGCAGCATCAGCTATATCTAAACTCTTCCACCAAAGACATTTTTCTAACCTCTTATTGAAAGCCTCCAGTGGTAAATGCCCATAACCTCTGTATGTGGTATATTTTGCATCACTATCCTTAGCATCTCAGGGTTTTCCTAATATCTATCACAAGTTTTCTTAAGGCAGTTCAAGCTTGTGTCTTCTTGTCCTTCCCACTGTAACTGTGAAAAAGAGTTTCCTTTTCTTTGCAGCATGATTCTTATGCATTTGGAAACTGTTCAGGTCTCTTTTCTCAGTCTTTCTGAAAGGGTGGGAAAAATTTATTTTCTCCTTTCTG